CTGCTGTCATAGGAGGCCCTGTTGTATTGAGATACTGTGGCAGGGGAGGAGGGGAAAAGGATATAATTGTGGAGGAAGGCAAATCTTCCCCTGAAAGTCACGCCCTGTAGCAGCAGAGAAATAGGAGCTAGTGGATCCCAGAGATGTTTAGGCTCTGCTCACAGAGAGCAGAATGCAGGGTTGGTATGGCTGCAGTTGGTTTAAAGACCAACTAATTAATTGCATTTCATATCTTGCAATATTCATTTGAGTTTTGGCATCTGAATTTGAAGAACAAATTCCCAGAAGATCACTTTTTGAGGGGTGGAGAAAATTCCAAAGTCTTATGGAGAAATTACATTCAGCATCATGAGAACATACAAAGTGAAAGCTTTGTGCTGCTCTACTCCTAGGCTTTAATTTCACTTCTTGGTACGTCATCTTGTCTTTTTATATCCTTTTGCTTTTTTTCTGGAAACTTGTTTCCACAGAGATTCTGCGTGACCTGCTGGTGTTTTTGGGAGGACATTACTAAGGCTGTTTATACACTCACACCACAATTTACAAAGTGGGAATACTCATCTACAGCTACTATCAGTTCACACCAGAGTGTTTAAACAGATTGTGCATAAATACTGGGACCAGGTCACAGCTAAACCAGGAGAAAAACACAAAGTTAATGGAAAGTGAAGTATCTTATTTTAACACCTTTACTGACATTAGGGAAAGGACAAAGGCTGCAAAGTAAAGGGGTGAAACTGGAGAACTAAACAAAGATAAGTCCTGTGGTTTTAAGAAAGTACAGTGCCCTTCAGAAAAGTATGTGCCCAAGCTCAGGTGCAAATAGAAGTGACCCTCTGTGGAATACACCAGCCTTCACTTGCTGGGACCAAGTTTTGTTCACATCTGTACATTAAATTTAGTTTAGCAGTTGGATGTGTGTTAGCTACTATGCCATAGTGAAACGGGTGATTTCCCGTTTTCCTTGGAAAACATTGTAAAAACAGACATTTGACCATCTGATTAACACAAAAACTGGTAAAGAAAATCAGCTGCTAAGATTTTGCACTCAAACACATTGCTATAAGTACACAGAAGCTCTGCAGGCAACAACAGACCCACTGTGATAATCTGAGAACAGAACCTGGACCCTCTGTTGTTATGGCGAGCTCATTTATGACACCAAGTTTACCTTGTAGGCAAGTTGATTTGAAGTTAAATTAAGATGCCACCAGGGAAGCATAATAATGCCAAGTGCAAACAGAGCAGGGGGAAAAAAAAAGCCATATGTTGAGAAGGGGTTTTATCTGTCAACACTTTTCTTTGTTTCTTTTTTTCTTCAAAGGCAAAAGCGGTTATGGCAAAAGTTGGTTACCCTCAGTTTATAATGAATGACACATATATTAATGAAGACATCAAAACAGTAAGTGTCAGACCTGCAGCTTTCTTTATTTGCATACTGCGGCCATCCTTAGCTCTGTTTCAGTGCTGTCTAAAATCAAAGCTTGTCTTTTGTTTGGTATGCACCTGGAGTTTTGCTTGCCTGGTTATTTTAATTTTAGCTTTGATTTAAGTGCTCTAGTTCTCATGTCTAAATTGTCAATGCTGGTGTGCCTAAGTGAGATCACAAGGCCTGCTGGGAGTGAAATGTGCTTGGGTGCAAAGAACCTTCTTGCTATTAAACATTTTAAAGGTTAAACTTGCACTGTAATAAATTCTGCATTTAGTTATAAAAATTAAGCAAACCAAAAGCAGTTTTTCTCCAAATAATGGTCTTCCAAAACACTAATGCATTTTGCCTGAGAATATCACAATTTATGATGTCCTATATAGGTTTCCCTCATCTCTCCAAGCTATGAATTTTATTTATGATTGTTGCTTATAATCATGCCAATAGGTCCTAATCAATGTATAGGCCTATTGTGCTGCCTGCTGGACAAGGATATTGTGGGGAGACTCCTTCCTGACCTAGTATTTGTCCAGCCTGAGTCAGGAAGGCAAATGATTAATAATAATAATAATATATATTCCCATTTTCCAATTGTGGCATGCATGTGATGAACTGTATTACTGAAAGTCACAGGCAAAATAGAATCATAAATTCAATCCTGAACCAGTAAAATACAAGAGTGAACGTCATTTTAGCCAGAGCACGTGAAGAAACACTAGACAGAGGCATAATTTATTGAGCAAACTTTGAAGAACCAAGTCTACCAGCCTAGTCCTTGTTCATGAATGGTATGGGGTGATGTGATGCTGTGAAGACAACATAATGAGACAGAGCATGTGACCAACCTTATCACTCAGCATATGGAATTATTTGCCCAGACAAGTGGAAATGTCTAGTGAAAAATACTTGTTAATCATGGTTGCAAAACCATAGCTTACATCTGAAATACAACTTTCTCACAAATTCTAGGATTGTTTTAAACTGATGCCAGGGATATAATCTGGATTTATAAAGTGCTGACATCCTTTTTTCTTGCATGGTTAGTTGTATGTGTGTGTGTGGTTGCTTTTAGATTTGGAAGCTTATGGAAGCTTGGAGCCCTATGGCTATAAATATTTAATGTGAGAAACAGTAAAAAAGCAGTGGCAGAACCCTCAGAGGGCTTTCTTAATAAGATGCTTTCTTAATAAGAGCCATAGAAACATAGTCTGCAATCTATTGTTGGGTGCCTAAGATTCCTTTAGCACCTCTCTGCAAAGGGAAGAGCTTTGCTGGTGTTCCAGACCCTTGTGTAGATCCATTCAGCCACTGTTTTTTAACTAAGCTGATAAAATATTTATTCTTCTTACCAAGTGTGAAAATTTTACTTGATTTTATTATTGCTAAAAAATTAGGTGATTATCTTGTATAAAATAAAAGTTCTGCTTGTTTTATGTGAGCTTTTGTTTCTTTGGACATGTTTTGAAAATGTCTGTGCTTTATCTATACAGCTGAAGTTTACAGAAAGTGACTATTTTGGCAATGTACTGCAAACTCGCAAATACGCAGCCCAATCTGATTTCTACTGGCTTAGAAAAGAAGTTCCAAAGACAGAGTGAGTAGACAAAAGGCAAAATTACATAATCGTGTAACAATATTTAAATTACTATTAATTTATACACATTAATATATATATACTGTTATATGTTAAGTTTTAATCGAATTATATACACAGCAACATGTTATGATACAAAAAGCTTATGGGCAAACCTCTCTGTTATTCAGAAAATCCTGTGGATTTTTTTTTTGGTAAGTCCTATGTATCCCTGTTTAGATGCACAGTAGTCATGTGCTTGCAGCTTAAACTTAATGAAAAAAAGGTAATTGAATCTGAATTAAAAATGGATTATGTCTCTTGGTCACAGAGTTTGGAATGGTACAGCAGGGATTTGTGAGATAAATTTTGTAAGAATGAAACCATTAGTAAGAGATAATGTTATTATTAGCTGTACAAATCAGCATTGTTAGTTACCTGCTGCTGATAGCAATGATACGGAATGAAACATAATTTAATTTACATATGTTATTTTTATTTATTTGTAAACACGAGAGTGCAGATTGTG